CCGCAATTGAGAGTGCGCCTTTCAATCCAGTGCGCCTTAGTGCGCAAAATACGGTACATATAAAGAGTGACCCCCTGGAGTGTGAGGATCCTGAGACAGGGACTGGGACGGGACTGGGACGGGACAGGGACAAGGACAGGACGGAGACTTCCTGTGAGAGCAAATGGTAGCTCAGCCACTTCTCTGGCCACTGTCGAGTCAATTATCTTCCTTAGCACCCTGGTGGTGCCAAATGGAACCCCGTTCTCTCCCTGATTTCCCCCATGATCATTAATTGCTAACACTGTCTGTATTCAAATGATCAACCAAGAACATGGGGCATCTTTACTGCTTTTCCTTACACGAGGAAAACACTGACTTGGATTATGGTTGCTGAATTGGATTCAGTAAAGCTTGAGCAGTTTTATTTATATATGTGTATATATATATATATTTTTTTTTCCCACCTTCCCTCTAATTTTGGTAAGAGTTTCTTTGTTCTTTCTTGCTCCTCGGTTTCCTGGATATTGCTGTTCATTCCCCAGATTGTAGACGAGGGTAAGTTTCAGTTTCTATAATATCACCTTCACCACTGTCCCTATGCATTTCTGCATGTAGATCAGTCGTCATCCCCAGACGACCTAAACCTGCTTCAGCAGTCACACCATTAATGATGTCGTCATGTTTAACTTATCTGTGGAAACGGTCTTCACAATTCAGTTTTTTCCATTTATTTGTAATACACAAACTAATTTTGGTTTTTGTCTGTAGAGTGGATATATATGTATCCCGATGGGACCGTTTTGTATTACATTATGACTGTTACTGTATGTGCTGTATCTGTGCTGTGGATTCTGCAGTATGCCTGGATGTGTGTGTTGTAGCATGGCACCACACAGCTGTCACACACCTGTGGTTGAGCTCGCGCGGCTGTGTGTGGGGGGGAGCCGCTGAATCATGTGGTGACGCTCTGCTGAATCCCTGTTCCAGGCCAGACGCCTAAACGCGGGGCTGGTACTGAGAGTTATGTACTGAGCAGCGACGAAGAGGAGGGCCATTCTACCGGGGGCGCGGCCTTCCTCGCTCACCTGGAGGCCAACAGCCGGGCCAGGTACCGAGCGCCGGCCAGCCGGGCCACAAAGCGCAGATGGCATGCATCTGACTCCCGCTTCCCGTTCTGCAGGTCCATCCCAGGCATGATCAGCTGCCCCATCTGCATGGACACCTATACGGAGGTCAGCCTGATTCATGAGGAGTTTGTATTTCTGCAAGTATTTTAGTGTGAGGAAATTCCAGCTGAATTTGACGACTTTTAAGATGGACTGTGTCGTAAATTTACATTAGCACACAATCTGTAATAGGAGTTTCTGTTCCGCAGTTTATTATTTATTAAAAAATTAGTTTGCGCACCCCAACCCACATGCCGATGTGGAGCAGCTAATACGCATGGGGCTCTCCCCCAACTCGCCGCACACATGGTAATGTATAGCGGGAGTGAAGGCTAGCGCACATGCTAATGTATAGCAGGCGTGAAGGCTAGCGCACATGCCAGTGTATAGCGGCCGTGAAGGCTAGCGCACATGCCAGTGGATAGCGGCCGTGAAGGCTAGCGCACATGCCCCAGTGTATAGCGGCCGTGAAGGCTAGCGCACATGCCCCAGTGTATAGCGGCCGTGAAGGCTAGCCCACAGGAATCTACTGCTCTCTGCAAAGAGACGAGTTGCTCTGCACCATGCCTCCTCACCTCCATTGTTTCATACCTAGATCCCTACTCTAGCTGTAACTTTTTATATAAGCTCTTGTAGCTGGGTCCATATAGGAGGTGTGTGTGAGAAGACGCTAATGCTGTTCAGTCATGGTTTGACCCTGCGTGCATCCTGCAGATCGTGGGGAGTGGAAGGCTTGTCGTCTCGACCCGGTGCGGCCACCTCTTCTGCAGCGTCTGCCTCCGAGACTGTCTGGCCAAGTCACACACCTGTCCGACCTGCAGGAAGAAACTGACGAGCAAGCAGTACCACCCGATATACATCTGAGCCGGCCTGCTGTCCGCACCAGTCTCTCCTGGAGGTGCGAACGGTGCACAGGCTCAGCAGCAGCCTTTCCATCGGACCCACATCCGCTCTGGCTGCAGGCCTGAGTGTGTACAAGGGGCAAATTGGCACTTATCTGTGTTTCAGGAAGACCTCCTTCACCCTCTGCCTCGAACCCTGAGGCCTCTGTGGCTGTTGCAGTTATTCATAGCAGTATGAGATCACAAACCACCAAGAGAGTATACCTCCCATAACATGCAGCTTTTTGTGTGTAAATTTATGCGATCCATGCAAAGGGGGCCCAGTTTTGCTCAGGAATCACAGCTGGCGCCAAAGACTCAAGGGAGAGCTGTGGGGGTGTGAGACAGCGCCCCCTCGTGGACATGCTGTTGGTGTTGCAATATTCTTAGCTGTTTGTTAATGTTTGTATTTAACACTAAATAATTACATAGGACTTTTGAATAATTTTGTATTAAATGAACAGTTGAATAACTGCAGTCTGTGGACAAGGGTAAGACCACCCCCCCCCAAGAAAAAGGAAAAACACGCTTCTAAAAATGTCATTGTGTATGTTTGCCCTTTTGAAAAATTAAAATACCACAGAGGAAGAAACTCTTTTTGACAAGTAGTGAGTAAAACTCACCTCTGGGAAGTTTCCTGACTGTGTCCCGTTTCTTGTTATATATTTTTTTTAATTATTTAAAGTTTGGGGGCTATTCACTGTATGGCTTTACAGTCAGCTCTATGAAATTGCCCTAACTTTGCTGGGGGTGCAGCGGCTTAGTCAGATGTTGGTGTATTTTTGGTTTTCCTAGATTTAAACTCGCTGAAAGATGACTTTGGTTTGATTTTTGTGTTTTCTGAATGTAATACCACCCTGGCACATTTTGCAAACATGTTTTTGAATATTAAAGTAGTCCAAGAAGTCTAGTTCTTTTGCACTTTTGTGGGTCTCCTGTCCAAGTGTCTGAGGTGAGCTGCTGTCTTTGCAATGCCCTGCATGTTGGGGCCTTGTAATGGATGAGTGTCCCTTGCCGTGTGTATCCTGGGATAGCTACTGGGCTCACTGTTCCCCTTAACCTGGATCAGTGACTATGAAACATGGGTGGAACGAAACACTCCATTGACACCTGTAAATTTTGCGTGCATAATATATACACCTTTGGTTCTCTAACCTTTCGTTTGGAGGACCCCCCCTCCCCCAGCAATGTCTCGCGACCCCTTTCTTTTGACACACTGATCCGACAGCAGGTACTGAGCAATTCTTCCCCGGGCTCCAAACTTAATCAGCGACACAAATCCAAGGTCCTAGGGGCGGTACCCCATGATATAATTTGGCAAAAGTTTGCAAACGATTAAATTTTGTCGACACGGGGGGTGACGATAAAAAGGAATTTTCTTTTTAGAATATTCAATAAATGATCTCGTGATCGCTCCTAGCGCGGATCTACGCAAATACATAACAGGCTATTTTCGGTCGGTGATTAAGCGGCGTCACATGACGCCGGCTTTGTCACGTGACCGCCGACGGGAGTCCCCGCCCCCTCGGTCATGCTTGTGCCGGAGCTCCGCTGTGCTCCGGCAGCCCGGCGCGTCCGTTGCACTGACAGGCAGCTTTCTCTCACGGTCCGAGCTCCGTCACATCGCCTTCGACATGAAGCGCCCTTTGCTGGCGGCTTTCTCGGCGGCCGCTGCTTGCTTGCTGGGTGAGTAAATGTAGAGAAAGGTGGTCAAGTGATTTAATCGTACCGCCACGTCTGAAATTATTCAGAACTGAATTTAAGTTCCACATACAAGATTAGATTAAACGAAACGGCAGTAGAGAAATGTGTACCAGGAATACACTTTGGTACCTGGAAAAAAGCAAAAAAAAGTCAGTGGCGTTTAAAACTTAACGCCGAGTCACATGAGGTGAAGTGATGTACAAAGCAACAGGGATAGCTGAATAATATTTGGAAATATTTATTCGCTTTTTATCCAGTAGTCATTTCTAAATGTGATTTTTACTGAAGTAAATACAATACATGTAATTTATATTAAATCGAACGGTTTTTGTTTGTTGCAAGGGGCTTGGAATATGTAGAGAAAATGTATTTAAATAACTCTGATGTTTGAAACATGATATATGAAGTGTTTATACGAAGGGACCCTGGATTCGATGATTCAGTTAAAAGTGTATTTAAACGTGCTTCGTGATTTCAGTAATCAGACCTGAGTTGCCTAACTCCCACCCCGTCAAACACTGCATAGTGTGATATATACAGACTTCACCCTACTTTTTATTCCGGCCATATGGGTATTATTTTCTTCATTTGGTTCACCTTGACTGTCTTCTAGGTATTTATATAGGTATAGCCGGAGATTTGAGACCTCCCACAATCAGTACGAACGTCAGTCCGATGGTCTCCAGAACTTTGCTGGGATATAGTCCCTCCATCCCGGCTTTCTAAACTGGCATCTTGCAGGGAGACAGGCAGTAAGACGACGTCTGAGACGTACTGTGGTATTGAGATATATATATATATATATTTTGAGTTCAGATTGAATCGATCTGTTAGTGTTAGTTATTTATTGCAGAATGCAATCAAAGTAAAGAGTGTTTACGGGCTAATATTTAGCCACGATCTTGATAATATCAAGCAGAAGTACTCTACTTTTTAAAAGCATTCAACTATTTTTTTTGTCTTTATCTCTCAGTGTAATTGTAGCACAGACTTCAATGTTTACTCAAGATAGAGCATAGAAATACTGAGTCTGGTAGGCGCTCGAGGAGTTTGGGGAACTACTTCAGGCAGCTTTGGATGCTAACCACCAGGCGACATGTGACCGTGGTGAATAACCAGATTCCATTCCGTGGGTGTTTCTCCTGAAAGAATGCACTGCAGGGACATGATAATCCGATTACTCTACCAGCCCTGCCCTCCTCGCCAGCTGCCCGCTGTCACATGGCCGCTCTGTCCCTGTTTGTGCCCACTGGGGACTGGTTCTTGAAGTATTTCTTCACAGACCTGGTCCTAATCGGGGTTTGGATTTAATCCACTGGGCAGGCAGGTTAACACCTACTATCACGTAGATGTTTTAAAAAATGTTTACGGTTCATATTTCTGTCTTTGATCGGCATGTGTTTGTGGCTTAGCATAACTCTGCGATCTAACGTTTCCGTTTAGCTTGTTTATACCTCCACTGGCTTTTAGATCGTTACACTAAGTCTTAGTGGCTTATCTGCATTTTTGTGTAAAGCTTATGACAGCTGGATAGTTTACTGGAGTGAGGCATGTGAGGCATGTTAGGCACTGTGAGGCATGTTAGATACTGTGAGTCTGGGCCCTTTTGGGGACTTTGGAACAAAACAACCTTAAAGTTACAAAATCTCGATGTTATCCACTGTGTCACATGATGATTAGTTAACACCCACGTTAATCTTATTACTTGGTACCTAATGACATGCAAATGTCTCTCAGCATCAATATCGGTGCAGTGATATTTGTGGAAGTGCATGTCTATCTCTGGGTCTTTCCGCGGTTTTCCCCTTACACTCAACACAGTCTCACTTCTGCTTTATTAGCATCAGCACCAGGTGTTTAGCAGCTTGTTAAGTCTGCCGGATCAAACGCAGGGGCTGAAAACCGCAAACTCTGCTTGGAAAAATCACAACAAAGAATGAAGGTGTACAGTCAAGAAGGGCCAAAGCATTCAGATGATGCATCCGAGGATATGGTTCCGGAAATCAAAGCCGCCTGAATGATAAACGGAATGGATGGATGGATGGATGGATGGTGTTATTCCTGTCCATCTCTAAACTGCCATCCAGACTGACTCCATTCACATGAAAGAGACTGAATGCTTGTTTTCCTGCCTGTGGTTACACTAGCAGGAGTCACTATCCTCACTGCCAAAGGAGGAAGATGCAGAGAAATGACCCGCGGAAAACACACATGACCGCAGTGGGACAGCCTGCTTCCTCAGACCCGAATCTGTCCCAGAATGCTCCCCTCTTGCGGTCCATTAGAGCTCATTAGATTAGGAAAGGAGCTTAAGTCATAAGCAGCAAACCCAAAAATCTGCTTGGTGTGTTTTTCGGCAATGAGAACAACCAACAAAAGAGCAGGACTGAGGACTTTTTGTTAATTCCTGTTGTTGAAGGAAATTTGCCTTGAACAAAGGTCCACATTCAGACATCCAGAAGAGGATGTTCTGCAACAGGCAGATCTTGTGTACATTTCTGCTTCTACTCCGTATTGTTATAAGCAGAATGCACTATTTTTTTTCTCTTCATGTTCAGGACAGGGATCCCCTGGCCATTGATAAAATCACATGCTACTGATAATTTCCTCACAGATACATGCTATCTTTCATTTGATTTATTTAGGAGATGCTTTTTTCCAGAGTGATGTACGTGTTTGAGGAAGCAGAGTGAGACAGGGGCTGCTCTAGTGACGGCCTCGCTCTAGGATCCAATGGTGAAATCCCTGGGATCTGAACTGGTGACCTTCTGATCACAAGCACACTACCCTAACCTGCTGAGCCACACCTCCCCCGCCTGCCTTTTATTTATCTCAGGAACATGTTACCTGTATTACTTCTATCAGACTCTGTCTCTCTCTCTCTCCCTCTCTCTCTCTCAGGTTTCGTGGCGAGTCAGACCACCGTCAGTCCAGCTGTGACAAACACCACAGCCGGTGAGAATGCGACGGTGACCCTTCTGCCCAGCGCCGTGCCCTTGGACTGCTCCACCGTCAACACGTCCGCCTGCGCCGCCTGCGCCTCTGGCTCCTACGCCGATAACGGTAAGGCCCGTGTCGCCTCCGCTCCGTCACCTCCGCCTGTACGGTTCGCACCACCGGCTCATGAGTTCTGCTCTCGGGCCCGCAGACACGCTGCAGTGTTCCTGCTGCTCGGACCCAGGGCTCTGCGTGACTCAGGGGGCGTGTCTGCTGTGTGCCAAAGGCCAGTTCCAGCCCCTCGCTGGACAGACCCGCTGTGTGCCCTGTGCAAGGGGCTCTTTCAGCAAGTGAGTTCTGTACATTCCCACCGACCGTGAACTCGCAGTGTATACATATGCACACGCACCCTTTCACGACTGAGTACAACCTCGCTGGCGCCCTCATGTGTTTGTACACACAAACAGACGCCTAGCAACTTTGTTTTCCCGGCCCTGTTATATACTGTGTGCATACACACACATGCAGATACAGGCACATATAATATCTCATATTTCATGTTTTGCAGTCTCATAAGTTTGTGACTGTGAGTTCGATTCCTCCCCAGCTCCAGGCTTGGGCAGTTAGCTCGCCTTCCCTGTGTTTGTGTTGATTTGCACTGGGGCTTTAAAACAGCTTTTCATTTTCCTTTGGCGGTCTGGCCCCTCCCAGTCTAAGAACGGCTCTCCTAAGACGACTAACTTTCCCCCTTTCCGCACTGGAACTGTAACTCTTTAACCAAAAATCCATTACTGCACATTCGTAATACTGTAGTCAAAACCGTATTCTTGTCCATAAAACTCATTGCTCTTTTGCACAACTGTGTATTTTTTAAAACTATTTTTAAACCATATTTCTATTTTTTTTTCTGTCTGTGTCCTATATCCATGTCTCAGTATGTTTTGTTAAGATCAGTATTTATAAGCCTTTCATGTTTGTATTCTACTTATCACTGTTTTCTTGCACTGTGACTGAGACTGTAATTTAATTTCCGTTTGTGACCCACGGATCAGCAGTATCGATACTTTGCCTTTGGATTCTTCTCCCAGTCCAAAGGCATGCAGCATGGCTGGACTGGAGACTCTAAACTGCGTGGTGTGTGTGTGTGGGGGGGGGGCAGTCTGCTGTAGACTGTCACCCTGTCCAGAGAACGTCCCCCCCTCCTGCTTTGCACTTTCTGGGACGAGCTCCAGGCCCCCCACCTGTGCTGGATGAGTGTTATGCACGATGGCGGGATGCTTTACCTCGTATGAGCTGACCAGTCCTCTCTGCCCTGTCCCGTCAGCGTCACGGGCAGCCTCGTGTGCCAGGTCTGCCCTCCCGGTTCCTACAGCAACCAGAGCGGCTCCGATTCCTGCACCAGCTGCTCCCCAGGTAGGGAGGGGTCCGCAAAAGGGGGGCGTGGCCCAGCCGGAGTTGAACGCGACGCGCTAATCGAGCATCTCTACGCCTGCACAGGTTTCTACGCCTCGCAGAGGAACGCCTCGTCATGTGATCCCTGTTCACTGGGAACATTCTGCAAGTGAGTCAGTAATTCAGCGTAGGGTGGCCAGATGTCCCGTTTTATAGGCACCAACTACGCCTGCAGTTTTTAACTAAAGCCAATGTAAAGCATCTTATTTAGAATTTTATAATTTTGTATAATCTTGTTATTGCTGTCTGTGTTTTGAGATTTTACCTTTTCAGGTTTTATTTGTTTATTTGTTTATTAATAGTTTTATTTATTTACTTAGTTACTTTGCTTACTTATTTTACTACAAGTGGTATTCGAACTGTAGGTAGGGTGACTAAGTGGATCTGCTGATGTCACTTCCTGTCTGTGTCACTCATGAAGGATTCATTGAAGACCACTGAAGGTCTTGCCTGAAGGCTCCGCTGATCCTTCACCTTCAGCATCCTCCCTCCTTTTATCTTTCAGTTCCTCCAGATGTGCCCAGTGCCCGGTGTGCCCCCCCGGAATGGAGTCCCTGCACATCGCCGCCAAGGAATGCACACTCTGTCGCCCAGGTAACCGTTCCTGTTTGGCCAATCAGGAACACGGCCTTTTGCTGCACTTAAGTGGTCAGTCTGCATAGGATGGGCCAGCTTTCCTCCAATAGCAGCTCAGTAACATTGATAAAGCCAACTTATGAAGTTCACCTGGTGCGGACTGAAACAGACTGAGCCAAGGGGGTTGGCAAATTTGGTGTAACTCGATTCCGCCACCTTGCCCCCGGACAGGTATGCATAAGGGGCCGGACCAGGGCTTGTGTCAGATCTGCAAAAGTGGCTACTTCCAGATCCGCTGGGGACAGGAGATCTGTGAAATCTGCCCCGAGAACAACTACTGCCCTGTAAGTACCTCCCTCTCCGAATCACTCCCCAGTCTCACCCCGCTGAGCGCTGGCCTCCGGCGCAGAGTGAATCCGCCCTCTCCGAATCACTCCCCAGTCTCACCCCGCTGAGCGCAGGCCTCCGGCGCAGAGTGACTCCGCCCTCTCCGAATCACTCCCCAGTCTCACCCCGCTGAGCGCAGGCCTCCGGCGCAGAGTGACATTGTCCTGCAGCATGTATATGCAGAGTCAGTCCTTTTGATAGAACAATGGCACTTGTTTTAGTGACGATTTAGTCAAAATTTTCTCAAAAGTTTTAGATTACTTCATGAGTCCATATCAAAAATATTTTTCTTCCAATTTCCAATACAACATACCCTGTAAGAACCATTATTAGAATTACAGAGTAATTAAGAATTTTGTTGAGATTTTATTACACTCATGCAATACAATCTTTGATGTCAAATACATTATTTTCATTTATATTTTTGTTTTGCTGAGTAGGTTAACTTGCTTGTATCAGTGTGCGTGAATGTGTGTGTGTGTGTGTCTCAGCCTCCACAGCCCTGACCTGCACAGAATAGTCGCTTTTCCATTTACCCCTCGCACAAGGCCCCTAACCGCCTGAAACGCTCCACGGTGCCCCGTCCTCAAACTCTGTGTGTATGATGGGATATTCAAAAGAGCATTCCAGTGTAGCTCTGCTTGTGCAAATGGGAAATAATGCTTCATTTCAGAAATGTGATTTTCCGGTGGTAGCGTGCTGCTGTGTGAATGGGCTGAGTCTGCGCTCTGTGTTTGTGTGCAGAGCCCGGACCTGAACCCGATCCAGTGCCCCAGTGACGCCTTCTGCCCTCAGGGCAGCACAGCCCCTGGCTACTGCATGGAGACCTTCTTTCGGAAATCAGGGGACACGTGCCAGCTAGCGCCAGTCACCATTGCCCTTCTGGTCGTAGCAGGGGGCAGTAAGTATGGCGCGGGGGGGCGTCCTGTCATCAGTGCTCTGCTGATCATTGGAGGGGGGTGGCTGCAGAATGCCGCGTAACATGCAGCATATCCCCCCGCACTCTCTCCATCAGTGGTCCTCCTCTGCGCCATCCTGCTGGGGATACGGAGGAGACGGCGCGCCGACGGGGAGCTGAGCGTGTCGCGGGCCCCGCTGCTGCGTAAGGAGCGCTCCTCCAGTCGCTTCTACGGTGCCGAGCCGGTGTATGCCGGCTGGTGATGCCCCGCCCCCTCTTGCTGGATGTAGAGGGGGCGGCCCCTCACCGAGACCGCTTGGGGCAGGGGAACCCAGACTGTTTCTGCTCAGTCTCCTGTGGCATCAGGTGTAGTGAGAGGTGAGCATCAGCAGGCCTACAGGACCAGTTGGAGGAACAGCTCAGTGCTGCCCCCTGTGGGTGCTGGCTTGTTCCTGCTCTCCACTTGTATTACTCTATGCATTCTTGGCCACCTGATATGGACCTTTCTGTTGTATATGTAATCTTATTCAACATTTTAATGTAAATTGACTTTACTTCGTTGTGTTTGTTGAGGTGTTGTGCAGTTTTTGGTACAAGTGGCCCAGTCAGGGGAATTTTGTTTACTTAAGGAAGCTGTAAAGTTATAAAGTTTTATGTTGTACATGTTGCACTGATTGTCAAGGTAAACCTTGCTATTGATGGTACACAAATATGGAAGAACAGTTACTTTGGATGAGCTTGGACAGTTGGGTCTGAATTTTAGTCCTGTCCTTTTCTCTGTGCCATAACCCAATTTCACTTGCCACATTTGTGGTCAGGTCTTTTATAAGTTGTGAAGATGTTGTTTATTAAGCTAAATTTGAGTACAAATCCAGCCATCCTGTTTGGTGAAAGTTTTCTTGCAGTATTTTTGTGTGAATGTTCATCACATGTATAAATCAAAGCACCATGCTTTTGTAAAAGCAATGACTTTGGTACAAGATTGTCAGATGTTTCTTAGTACAAAAAAAATGTGAGCTGTAAGTAAATTAAAAATCACGAATTAAAATAATGGGTGTAATTGACTGTGTGGGAAAGCGTGAGCAGAAAAGGGTCACATGTCACTGTGGCTTCGATGGTCACATGGTCTGTCACATGTCACTGTGGCTTCGATGGTCACGGGTCACACGCCACTGTGGCTTCGATGGTCACATGGTCTGTCACATGTCTGCTGTGGGCAGGGATCCTTCAGACTATTACATCACTTAAAGAAACAAACTGCCTGTACAGGGCTGGGAAGTGTGTGACTGACAGCGCGCACGCACACACACCCTATACCATCTTTATTTATAAAAGCACTTTAAAACAACCATAGCTGACACAAAGTGCTGAACTTTGGAGCACTGGGGTCTGTTTCACAAAGCAGGATTTCTTGCTTAGCCAGATAACTTGCCAGATTTAAGGTAGTCTGGGCTAAATAGACCTTATTTTCATCAATTTACATTTAGCCCAGACTACCTTAAATCTGGCAAGTTATCTGGCTAAGCAAGTAATCCTGCTTTGTGAAACAGGCCCCTGGAGAGAGAAAACAAAAACAAAAACAAAAACAAATACAAAGTCTGATAACTAATGTTGCTGCAGACATTGAAGGACCTCAGCCTCCTAAGGAAGTAGAGCCTGCTCTGTCCTTTCTTGTAAAGTGCTTTGGTATTGGCAGACCAGTCCAGTTTATTGTCAAGGTGGACCCCCAGGTACTTGTATGTACTGACAGTCTCCACATTCACCCCGTCAATGGTGACAGACAGCAGTGGAGGGGCAGACCTCCTGAAGTCTACTACCATTTCCTTGGTTTTGGTGATGTTCAGCTGCAGCTGGTTGGTTCTACACCATCCCACAAAGTCCTCCACAAGGCTCCTATACTCAGCCCCCTGCCCATCCTTGATACAGCCTACAATTGCAGTGTCATCAGAAAACTTCTGCATATGGCACGACTCAGAGTTGTACCTGAAGTCTGTATCCTTCAGCTGCTTCAATAAATCTGCGATGGGTTGGCAGTGGCACCCTGCCCTGGGCTGTTCCCCGCCTTGTGCCTGTAGTTCATGGGAAAGACTCCGGACAATAAATCTGCGATGGGTTGGCAGTGGCACCCTGCCCTGGGCTGTTCCCTGCCTTGTGCCTGTAGTTCATGGGAAAGACTCCAGACTCCCGAGACCCAGCATAGGGCAAGCAGGCACAGAAAATGGATGGATGGATACTTCAATAAATATTTTATAAGTAGGTAAAACACGTAATTTGAATGCCATGATATGCTTAAAATAGCATTATTTGAGTAGGAATTTGGATATGACCCAAGCCCCCTATCAGAAACTAGCTCAATTCTCGATTTTCAGCATAAAGCTTAATGTTACTGAGCATGTGCATGTAACACATCCTTCTCTCCAAAGCTTTAACTTTGCAATGAATGGAGTTTTTCCTCCTGTTTGTTTTTACATGAATGCACCGGCCCTAATCCATCTGCTACTCCAGAAAAACATATATATCTAACGCGCTACGAAATTCCGTTCTGTTTGTCCGTATTTGGCGCCGTATCATGGTGTGCTGCGTTCTGTTTGTCCCTGTGAGACGCCGTACTTCAGAGGTCAATGGCGATTTGAAACATGGCGTTTAGAATCACGAGAAATATTCCAGGTGGGTATTAAAGTAATATCTTTAACAAATTATGACATTAAAACAAACTTTTTCTGCTGTGTATTGTAGCTACCAGAGTATTATATATTTAATGCTTTGCATATTAAAAACTCTACTCAGTCTTGCTAAATATGATAGTTCATGGTCATATTTTGGGGTGTTTGACCGTATTACCTATAAATACTGACATTGTTGCGTTTTATTTTATATTCTAGTTTAGCCAGCATGAATATGAAATCGAGAGAGTTTGGAGTATGGAGAGAGAATGATGTGTCAGTATATTTAGTTAAGGAATTGTAATATCTTTAGATGTATCTAGCTCAGGGATAGTATGATAAAATTCGGCAGTCTGCAGCAGACCATAACATAATTTAAAACTCATGCTCATACTGCTTCAAATATAATTATTTATGAAACGCACTGCCGCATTAAAAAAAAAACATCGGATAGTCAATGGCGGAAAACAAAAAGAATGCTGTGTTTGGCTGGTGGACAGGAAAACAGACATCGGGCATGCTATGAAAATTACATGGTAGTTATTTGTACAAAGGTAAATAGTCGTAAATGACGTACCAAAAAATATTCTTCACAAATCGGGTTTTATTTCTCTAATTCTCTGAATAATTATACTTATAATATTTTGTTGTTATTTACGGGCAGAAATGTTTGAATTAGGTTAAGTACTTAATTATGTCGTGCTAAAGAGCCATGCAGCTCATTGCTTTTATAGATATGGGTTAGTTTGCCTTAGGTGATGTATTTTCTTCATTAGCCTTCTGTTCTCAAATCGGACACCTCGCATTAACTTACAGCGGACCCTTGACTTACCAACTCTATTCGTTCCCATGGGCTGGTCATAAGGAATAACGGAAATACCCATAATGCGATCCGAACCTCCCAAAGCACCCCTTACCTAACATTTTCATAATAAAAAAAGGTTGTATAATGTGCGTAATTTACCAGAAACACCAATCATTTTCCTAGTGTACTCACCAAAATGTTATAAAATGTCTAGCCTACTAGCAGTGACGCCCGCAAACCGGCGTATCTGGGCGCAGACTGACGCTTACGGACGTGAACTCGGCTCTTTATCTACAGCCGCACAGGCGGATACACGGTTTGGCTTCGACCGGCATTCGGGTCGTAACTCAAGACTTTGGACGTAAGTTAAAAACTAAAATTTTGGTCGTAACCCAAGTTGTTCGTAAGTCAGGCCGGTCGTAACTCGAGGGTCCACTATGCTAATGGGCAACTGAGAGAGCTGCAACCGAGGAACTTGGCAGCTTAAAATAAGCAAGGCTTGAGAGCCATAATTAGGTTGTTACAAAATGATTATGTTGCGCATTTATTTAATGTAAATAAGTTCATGAAAAGTGTTCTATATTGTGCATATAGTTATTTTGACGGTAATTAATCGTATAACCTGTGTAATTCCTCATGTTGTGATTTGCGTTTGGTTTATTCCATTATTGTGGGATAAAAGAATCTCCAGGTGCCGACACTGTTCTTTTAATTGTCATTTTTCTTTTTTATAATTTGTGGCTCATAATGTAAATTAAGATAAATGTTTTCTGGAAGTGTTGTGTCACTCAGTACTGCTATAAAACTGAAACTGATTTGAGCACCAAGCAGCATTTATTCTGGGTATTAATCTTGTCAGGAAGCCCAGTTTTGAAATTGGTGTAGATGTGAGGTCTGATGTCTTTCTGCGAGTGGAGGAACTGCTCAGGTTTTTTATCTCTTGCGTTGTGGTCCTTCTGCTCTCCAGGGCTGCTCAGGCCGCTGACCCTGCTGAGACCTGGGTGCAGTGTCAGTCTCCCCCCTCGAGTCCCCTCCCTGACCTGCCGCTTTTCCACGCTCACGCTAGGGGCGAGGTCTCAGAGACCGGCCCTCATTGGCCCCGCCCTCCAGGCCACCCTGCCCAATCACAGCCTCCCTCGGTCAGGCATTCTTTACAGGTGAGGTTGTCTCTGCCTACAGGTCCTTCATCTTTGTTCCACATCAAGGGAGATTGTAAGATTTTTAAGGAGGGAGGCACAAGAGAGGCCATAACTCATACAGAGGGGCCAGCCATATAATTAGCCAATGATGTGTTTTGAATCAGTGAGTGACAGTGCTTCAAAAGCGATAATTAGCCAATGATGTGTTTTGAATCAGTGAGTGACAGTGCTTCAAAAGCGATAATTAGCCAATGATGTGTTTTGAATCAGTGAGTGACAGTGGAGGAGGTGCTTCAAAAGCGAATCAGCTTTCAGTGACTCGCCTCCTGTACACGCCCCTGGTTCACCCACACCTATTCCCGGTACAACGGAGTATTTAACCACCCACTGAATTCATCAAGAAGCACTCGGCATGCTGTTAAAGGGCATTTAGGGATCATTTTGAGAGGAAGCTTTATTGTAGATTAATTGTTACACTTTTTTGGGGGGTTTTATCCAAGTTCAGTTTTCAGAGGATGCAAAGAGTGACACTTTCATAAACTAACAATCCCCTGACCTTAAGGAGCGCATAAAAATCCACTGAAATTACCTTCAGTTATGCAGGACAATACTTTTTATGGTATTGTAGTATTTGTCACTAGATTCGCACTGGTTTGCATGTAAGTAAAATGTTTACATAAGGATTTATATTTTATATTCATATTTATCTATTTTTCGTCTGTGGTTTGGATGGGTATGTATTTTAAGCAAATACAGCTGCCAGTCAGTGAAGCACATTGTATAGTCTGTAGCGGTGGCTGAGCACGCTCACATGGGTAACATTTGGGGTGATCCAGACTCCAGATTTTCCTGCAGTCTGCTGCTGACTTTTTCCAGACTTTCTTGTCTGTTTTTCATAGTATTCTTTGTTTACTGTGTATTATTTAAACCTGTTCACACGACGTTTACACTATATGTGCCATCTTTGTGCCGTGTCTCTTTGGCATTACACGCATGTGTGCATTATGTATTCTAAAAGCTCTATATTTCCCCTGGGATTAATACAATTAGCCTTAATCTTAATTTTGGTTACCAAGCAGTGAGACCTTTCAGGATAGGAGTGATTGGGAGAGGTTCGTCAGGGCTAATCCTGCTAACCTCTGTGCACCCTCCAGTGCTGCACGCCTTTCCCCCAGCCTGCTAGCGCAGCCGGCCCGCACCCTCACCTACTACAGCTTGAAGAAGGGAAAGAGGAAGACCGTGAAGGCCGTGGTGAAGAGGTTTCTGCGGCTGCACTGCGGCCTGTGGCTCAGACGGAAGGTACGGTCCTGTTAGCTTCCCCTAACTGACCCGTGTAAGGCGTGCCGTGGGCCAGCGTGTAGTATACATGATCCGTGTAAGGCGTGCCGTGAGCCAGCGTGTAATTTACATGATCCGTGTAAGGCGTGCCGTGGGTATCCATGTAGTATACATGATCCGTGTAAGGCGTGCCGTGGGCCAGCGTGTAGTATACATGATCCGTGTAAGGCGTGCCGTGGGTATCCATGTAGTATACATGATCCGTGTAAGGCGTGCCGTGGGTATCCATGTAGTATACATGATCCGTGTAAGGCGTGCCGTGGGTATCCATGTAGTATACCCAGCTAGATCACATCCAGTGGGAATCTGTTCATTAGCAACACAGTGCTACTGTTCTGACTGGCGTTTCGCTCGACAGGCTGGGTACAAGAAGAAGCTGTGGAAGAAGAAGTCCGTCAGGAAGAAGAGGCTCCGGGAGCACGTGTTCTGCAACGCCACACAATCGAGGATGCTCAACAAAATGACCACGTCCTTTTGGAAGAGGAGGAATTGGTACCTTGACGATCCCTATCAGAAGTACCATGACCGCACCAATCTGAAGCTGTGAGGAACTTCGGGGGAGTGAAGGCTCCGAATTAAACACCCAAGGAAATGAAAACTCAGGGGGGAATGTATTGATATCAAGTAGAATTAGGAGGGTCTCATGTTTGACTGGGTGAACCACAGTGGAAAGTTGAATACCTAGAACAGTGTTTCTCAAACTGGTCCTTGGGAGCTGAGAGGGAGCAAAAATGTGGACTGTCTGGCAGGGAGCAAAAATGTGGACTGTCTGGGGGTCCCTAAGGACTGTGATGAGAAACACTGATCTGGAAGATTTGTCATGGGGTTTTGGAAGGTCTTAATGTCCAGCTTATTCACCTCTGTGAATAAAGGTCTCCCTTCTTCTCACTGTCCACTGTAGCATGTCTAATATGCATTCTGGGCCAGGGATGTCGAAAATAGGGGGGAAGAGTTTGCCCTAAGTATCGGCAGCCGCCCCCCATTCTGTCACTCTTAGTCATCAGTCAAAATCATGTTTCGTTCTCTGTGAAGCTTCAGTCTGACCTACGCCCTCTGTGGCTTTCAGCTATCACTAAGTCTTCAGTAATGTACAGAGATCCAAGCGTGTGGATTTGGGTGTGGACAGTAGGCACATGTACCGTACCATCAGGGTTTAAGGGGGGTGGGGCGGGGGTTCGGGGCCGTTTTGGTCCCTGCTAACGTTCAAGCCAAACCTACGCCCTTGCAGTGAACAGATATCTATTTAGGGGTGAACAATATTGGAATCACAAATCACATTGGGATATTTTTGGGTTTTGCGATCGCCGTTCACGACGGTGCCTTTTGCTATTTCACATGTTTCTGTCATGATGCAGACTAATTCATTACGAATCCGTGTGTTACTGAGGCCAATTCCCTACGCATTCAAAGCACAAGGACGAAACATATACCTAACGAAGACTGTAGTCCTGTAGCAGACAAAATCATCTTATACCTTATCATATGGATCAGTTATTTTTTAGTTATGTTTAGCTGTGTAACTGTACTCTAAACAGTACTAGTCATTTTAAATAACATTTTTATTTTAAAATTATTCAAAAATCTTACATTATTCACATGTGTACCCATTGCAATGTCACAATGTACAGTACACCCCAGGGCAAATTTGGTTCCCCCCCCCAATGTCAAACTCCTTCCAACGCTGCCCAATCCTGTGTTGCAAACACTGCAAGACTGTCATAAGAAACTACAGCTCTTGGGAGATAACCAAACTGATTGGTTGGACCCACCTCCTTTACAATCTGATTGGTTATCTCTCTGAACCAATCGTATTTCCTTCTGCCCTCAGAACATTCTTGTGTAAGTAAAACTCCCCCTACGCCCCAAGTGTCCAAGCCCTTCCGGGTTTACCGCTTTACATGGTGCCGCATTGTCTGGACAATAAAACAAACCTGAGATGATGTCACTGTTAAGCTACATACAGCTGTGAGCTTAGCCGCGTACCGCGTACCGCACACTGAGCGCCGAGAGACAGACTCTGAAAAAAGAACATTTTATTCTTAGTCATATGTAGGCTGACATAGCGTTAAAGGTTAGGTGTTTTGGGAAAGGAGCCGCACGCGTACTTAGGATATGGGACGGGCCAGCAGTGTGCATGCAGCCTGATTCAGCAGGGCTTTCAAAAGGCCGCGACGATACAGAGATACGCGGACAGATAGTATCACACTGCAGGGCGGAGTCTCATCTGTCAGTCTAGTGTTCTGCAAAGTTGTCACATGAAGGTGCGATATATAAAACTGGATTGATGGCGGGTCGCGAACCCAGAAGGGGTTCCTGTACACGAGAGGGCCGGCGTGGGCCCCTTAGCTTCGCAGCGCTGCCAGTCTGGACTGCATCTCCTCCAGGTCCTCTTCTGGCTCTTCTTCTGAGGCTGCCGTTGCCCCCACGGGCTCGGGTTCAGGCAGCGGTTCGGTCACGTTGCTGGGGGCCTTGCCAAGGGCTCCTGAAAAGAGTCTCATGGTCGGAAAGTGCGATCTCTACATCTAACAGCAGGACACTCAAATATGCTTAGGAGACCTTCAGAAAGATGGCTGTTATCGTATATACTCTAAAGCTGATGCTTTTCCAGTTTTCACCTTGAATAATCTGATTCTCATAGAAACTGGCTGCATGTACATGGATCTGCAGATTCTTCTCACCTACTCTCAAACACCCAGTGAGGAGAAGGAGCCAGTTACCTGCTGTGATCTCGAAGAGGATCCTGTCGACTTCGGCCTCCGCCATCTCCTCCATCTCCTCCTCGTCGTCCATGCTCTCAAACGTGTCCTCCAACATCTCCTCGATCATGCCAGCCTGGGAAATGCACCATGCAGAACAGCTTTAGTTTTCAGTTCATGTGAAGACCTTACAAGCACCCTCCCCAGCCTGTTTCAGTGTGAGGAGAGTAACAGGAGAGTAAGCAGGGCAGTAACAGGCCCAACGCACAGAACAGGGCAGTAACAGGCCTGACACGCAAAGCAGAGCAGGGCAGTAACAGGCATGACACGCAAAGCAGAGCAGGGCAGTAACAGGCCTGACACGCAAAGCAGAGCAGGGCAGTAACAGGCCT